CCACTCTGCTCTTCTCTGGCGTATGCCTGGACCCCCCTTTCTCGGATGACCCCCGCAGCCCGCGCTCCCGTCCACACGCGCCCCAAGGGGAGGAGGAGGAGGGCTGCTGGCCCTGCAGGGGCCTCAGAAGCTGTCCTGGAGTTGGGGGCGCCCCTCCTGTGTTGCTTCTCCTTCATGTACCTTTTCTCCTTCTCTCTTCTTGGCCCCTCTCCCCCCGCAGCAGGTCCACATCCCCGCCGTGGTTCTCGCTGCAGACAGAAAGCTATACAGGGACCTATACACACCCTGCACTCAAGACTGGAAACCAATCCGGGCACAGAGGAAAAGGAGGCCACTGGGGTGGGATGGAGAGACCAGACATGGATGGAGACCAAGACAAGGAAAAAAGAAGAGGGAGACGGAGGTGGAGCCCCAGGGCGAGGAAGAGGGGAGAAGGGAAACCAGAGACAAGCAGAGACCATGGAGGGGCAGGCGCTCGCGGCAGCGCCTGGGCTCAGACTCTGCGGCCGGCCTGCTGCCACCGCGCCCTCAGCAGTGCCCTCGGTATGCAGTCAGGGTCAGGGGTGTGCCCTCAGTTCAGGGGCTCCATGCTTGCTGAACGGCAGGCACTCCAGCCTCCATTTGCTCTGGGACTGTCAGGGACGTCAGTCACTCATCGGTCCCCAAAACTGCTAAGAGGGCCAGCCACTCTCACCTCCTCGGCGTCTGTGAGGCCTCATCTGAAATACTCACAGTCCTGGGTGGGTGACGGCCGTCTCTACCCACCCAAGGACAGCAGAGGCATCAACGGAACCTCTTGTTGCTTCACAGCACCCAACAGTGACAAACAGCAGCCCCCCTGGGGGAACCCAACTCCACACTCGACAAGGAGCACCATCACCCATAGCCGGGCCGGCCTGCCTACACCAGCACAACCCAGCCACGCCCTGTGCACCAGCGGGGGGCCGGCCAAGCAGCAGCATCCAGGCAGCCGGGGCCTTGAAGCTCCAGCCTGGCCCAGCCCCCAACCCCCAGGCCACATCTGCAACAGCACACACCCTATTGCTGGAGCCAGAGCCTCCTCCCTGGGTGCTAGCCGGGCCTGAGGGATCAGAGCAAGTTCCCAGCCCCATCTTCTGGCTCCTCGGCTCTCAGAACACCTGCGTGGCCACGCGGGCTGGCATTTCTGATCCCTGAGTGTCCCAGACCACACCCACTCCCTCCAGAGAGGACCTGCCCACCAAGCAGCTCAACGTCTTCCTCCTGATGCAATCCTGGGTTCCATCCTAGTCACCCCACCAGACCAGCACCAGAAGCCTTTCACCCACCACTAAGCTCCAGTTTCCGGGGCACTCTGGGCCCCTGTGGGATGTGTGGGCACTCCAGGTGGGCCCTGGCGCTCAGGCCAGAGTCATCTCTGGGCCCCCAGGGCCCGGGTCCGCACCAAAGGCCACCGTGTCTTTTTGTGGAAGGATGGAAGGACAGGAGGGAGGGAGACAAGGTGGGGCCACAGCCTTGCTCCTGCCTCAGACGTCCACGGGGACTCAGATCAAGCCAGCATCCATGGTCTCCATGAATGACCACCCCCAACCTGGGCTGTAACATCCCCTTCATCTTCCAAGACCCTCAGAAGACGCCTTCCCACCTCCTCCTGCCAAAGACTCCCCCTTCTTTCAGGGTCCAGCCCCTCCCTGAGCCCCAGGTTCAGGTCAGTAGCATTTGGGCCTATCTCCACCCCGCTGCACACCAGCCAGGAAGCCCCCCAGCGGCCACACAGGGCTGCCTCCCCTCTGCATCGTTACCTGATCACAGCTCAAGGCTCAGCACACAAGAACCCCCAGGAGATGGTGGCTGAAGGAATAAATGGATGGATGTGGGTTTAAATGTCTATGTTCTCACTCATTTATTCATGCAAAAAATACCTTTTTTTTTTTTGCCACACCATGAGGCATGTAGGATCTTAGTTACTAACCAAGGATTGCACCCATGCCTCCTGCAGTAGAAGCGTGGAGTGTAACCGCTAGACCACCAGGGAAGTCCCCTCAACGAATACTTAACTGAATACTTACACTATGCTAAGGGCTGGGTGTCAACGTGTTGGATAAGTAGAGACATCTCTCTTGTCGCCTCCATGAAGCTTAAAGCAGAGAAACACTACACAGAATATATGATTAGATGCAGGGACAATGGGCAAGAAGGAAGAATAGGGTGGGGGGCCTGGCCAGGTCAGGGGGTTCGGGGAGCCCTAGATGGAAGCGTGGAAAGGTGAGCCCAAACAAGAGTGGAGACAAGGCCCTGGCTGGGATGGGAGGAAAGCCAGAGGAAGGGCCAGAGGGAGTGAAGGAGGGGGAGCTGCGTGGGCACCAGAGGCTGACCCAGCGCTACAGTTCCTTCTGGGGCATTGAGGAGGGAACTAGTCACCTCCCAAGAAACAATGGGGGATGGGAACACCATTTGCTGTAATTGTTTTGTAACAAAATTATAGACTTAAAAGGGTGTGGCTCCCTTCAAACATCTCTCTGAGGGGGTGAAGTTATCTTCAAACCACTCAGGTAATTTGGCAACAGCCTTTAAGTCTGCTTTAGTTTACAGACTCCGTCAGCAAAAACATCTCTACTGTATAATTGTCTCTAGTTTCTATCAAAACACTGACAAGCAGTCACAGTATTATCCGTTATTAGTATCAGCACTGCTAAATTGATCAGAAAAGTGAAAAATGAAAGTATTAGTCACTCAGTCGTGTCCAACTCTTTGGACCACATGGACTGTAGCCTGCCAGGCTCCTCTGTCCATGGGATTCTCCAGACAAGAATACTGGAGTAAGTAGCCATTCCCTTCTCCAGGGAATCTTCCTGATCCAGGGACTGAACCCAGGTATCCTGCATTGAAGGCAGATTTTTTACCATCTGAGCCACCAGGGAAGCCCCAAACTGATCAAAGTGGTTCCAAATAAGACTTCGGGTATTCCACTCTGCACCCCATCCCACAAATCAAATTCATCCCTGAAGCACAAAGACTGGCCACCTCGAGGAGATTCCAAACCTGGGGTGGGTGTTGGTGAAATGGAAGAATGAGGGCTTCAAGCTCAGGTAGACATTCAGACTATCATGGTTATCATAGTAACCTTAGGTAACCTGAGGTCAGTGGCATCCCTGGCCTGTGGCTCAGTTTCCTTCTTTCACAACAGGTGACTCACGCCCACTTCACAGGGTGGCAGTCAGTGCCCAGAACAGGCCCTGGCATAGAGATAACCCCAGATAAATATCAGTTTCCCCATTAGACTATAACAGCTCTCTGACACGTGTTATCCAATCTGTCATGTGTCTGTCCGTGAAACCCTGACTATTTAACAAACATTTATTTGAACACAAAGAACTAAAATCACAGCCCCAACTGTAACCTCCACCAACTTTGACACATAATTCTTTTTAAATATCTCTGTTACTTTAGCCCAACTTTCAGGCATTCCTCAAAGCCAGCCTCCAGCCCCCAGATGAATTCTGCAGCCTGGAAGCTTCTTGACCTTCTTTTCAACATCAAGAGCAGCAGAAGATATAGCAGTTCCTGGGAAAGCTACACTTCTGGTTCTTGGAGAAAGTAGTTCAGACTCCTACATTCCTTACCAGCTAGAATGGGGTCCATGGATGAGCTCTGGGGCGGGGGGTAGGGGGGGCGGTCTGTGAGCATCCTGAGGTCAGAGCACAATTGAGTAGATGTAGGGATGCGTTTTCCTGGGAGAAAGTCTAACTAAATGTTGCAAAACTGGAAATCCATGTTGCCTGAAACATGTGGTTTGAACCACTAGGAGATTTTTGAAATGTGGAGAGTTACCAATATTTAAAAATTGAGAGATTTCACATAACAGTCTGGACTTCTGGCTTCTCTCGAGAAATCCAAAAAGTTGACAAATAGAGGGCACGTTTCTACCGGGGGACAGTCAGCGGAGCTGCAAAGCAGCACCCCAGCTCCTGCCGATGTACTGTCCAGTCTGGCATGGCCCCCACCCCCCAGATCGCCAAACCCGGGCTACAGCTTTCTCTGTTTCTTAAAGTCAGACTGTGATCCCACCCCACCACCAAGAGCAAGGAGCCTACGAGAGCAAACAGAGGCCTCCCTGGGGTCCTGAGATGTGTAAGTTAAACTTCTCTGGTTGGGGCAGCATGGAGCGGGTCCCCGTTCAGAGGCCCTGTCCCTATCCCTCCTCAGACACACACTGCTGAGGCCTCACCAGGCTGGTGGAGCAAACCCCAGAGCTGCAGCCCAGAGCCTCTGCTTCCTGCAAGTTGAGTGGCTGGAGAACCCCTGCTTCCAGCTCGGGGTCTCAGTGGTATCCAAGGAGGCACCTCACAAATCCCAACTTGTCCAGAGAAGCTTCGAGGCGTTATCTCAAGTCTCTGCTTCCTGAAACCTCCTGCTTTCGAGTTAACTTCTTTCGTCCTCACTTCCTCATGTGTGTGTTTGGGGGTGGGGTGGGGAGGGGGGTGCTATTATCACTCTCTTTTGACAGACAGGGAAACTGAGGCTCGCACAGCTGGCTGCCGGCAGGGCAAGTGCTCCCTGGTTCCAGAACTGGAATCTGAATGGCCTTCCTAGGCTTCCATCCTCAGGACAGCATGTCCAATGGGTTCTGTTACTATGCCCCTTTACAGATGAGGCTCTGACTGTGGCTCTCCCAAGCCACTCGCAGTTAAGGGATAGAAAGAGATTCCAACACAGGAGGGCCTGACCCCAAGCTGTGATCTGAGCCACCAAGCTACCCCCGCCCCCTCCTGAGCCCCGACCCTCATCGGCTGAAATTCCCACGGTCGCCAATGTCTAGAACCAGGGGTCTGTCCAGGAAGCCGCAGGATGCAGAGAGGATGAAAACACACATCACTCAGACTGACCACGTGGAGCACGGAGGCAGGAAGAGGAAGGGCAGTGCCCCACGGGTGGGCCGGGGACAAGGGTGGGAAAGCCAGGGCTTCCAAGAGGAGACAAGACTCTGCAGTTAGCAGAGATCCGGGAGCCGCAGCCCTTACCTCTTGGGCAGAAGCAGCGAAGCTAATACATTCAGGCCACCAACCCGGTTCAGTAGAGAACCTGGAGAGAGAGGAGAAGGAAGTCAGCATGCTGGGGAATTTGAGAAGCGTCACCACCTCGAGCAGGAGGGGGCCCTCCTGGGGCAGAGGGACCCTGCTCTTGTCACACCATCAGGAGTCACAAGTCAGTGACTGTAGACTCAGGTCCTGACAGCCACTGGCTACCTGCATTTCCGGGTTTTGAGCCTCAGAGTCCCCCTCTCATGAATGGGCATTCTGATGCCTTCCCTTGTTGATTATCTGTTTTTCCCATCAGACTGGAGCCTCCTTAATGGGCAAGGACTGTGTCTTACACCTTCAGCCCTTGACAGAGGGCCTGGCAAATGTGGGATACTCAGGAAGGACATGATGGATGATTTCAGTGAATGGATGGATGGCGGGAGGGAGTAACTAATTGACCAACTATGTGTCTCAAAGGACTGTGGGCAGTTTCCCTGGTGGCTCAGTGGTACAGAATCCACCCCCTAGCGCAGGAAGCATGGGTTCCTTTCCTGGTCCAGGAAGATCCCACCTGCTGTGGGGCAACTAAGCCCGTGTGCCACAACTATTAAGCCTGTGAACTGCAACTACCGAGGCCCTTGCAACCTAGAGCCTGTGTCCTACAAGAGAAGCCACTGAAATGGGAAGCCTGAGCCCCACAACTGGAGAGAAGTCCTTGTTCACCGAAACTAAAGAAAAGCCCGAGTAGCAACAAAGACCCAGTGCAGCCAAAAATAAATAGCAAATAAATACTAAAAAAAAACAACCACAACTGCAGGGAGGGACAAAGGAGGAATGTGAAAGGGTGTGAAATGAGGAATGTGAAAGGAATGTGAAAGGTGCCTATGTGCTGTGGGGAGATGAAAATAAAACCCACAATGATGCTTCTGACTGGTATATTTGTTCATTCATTTATTCATGTGGCTAATCAGCAGATGGGCTTCCCAGATAGCTCAGTGGTAAAGAATCCACCTGTCAAGCAGGAGACCCGGATACAATCCCTGGGTTGGGAAGATCCCCTAGAGAAGGAAATGGCAACCCACACCAGTATTCTTGCCTGGGAAAAAAACTCCCATGGACAGAGGAGGCTGGCAGGGTACAGTCCATGGGGTTGCAAAGAGTCGGACACAACTGAGCAACTAAACAACAAACAACAATCAGCAGATACGGAGGCTCGTCTGAGCTGGGCTCTGGATCAAGTGTGGGAGATGCGGAGATGGATCAAACCAGGTCTCTGCCCTGTTTACTCAGGGAGACCAAATGAATAGCTGATGCCAGAGACTGAAGTAAGTCAGGAAGAGAAAAATAAACATCGTATATTAACACACATATGTGGAATCTAGAAAAATAGCGCAGATGAACCTATCTTCAGGGTAGGAACAGAGACGCAGACATAGGGAACGAATACAGACATAGGGACATGGAGAGGGGTGGAAGGGTGGGGTGAACTGGGAGACTTGGACTGACGTGTGTACACTGCTATGGAAAAACAACCAGTGGGAAGCTGCTGTATAGAGCGGGGAGTTCAGCTCAGGGCTCTGTGATGACCTAGATGGGTGGGATGGTGGGGGAGGTCCAAGAGGGAGGGGATGAATGTATGTATGTATATAGCTGATTCACTTTGCTGTGGAGCAGAAACTAACACAACAATTGTAAAGCAATAACTGTTGTTTAGTAGCTCAGTGTCCAACTCCTTGCGAACCTATGGACTGTAACCCACCAGGCTCCTCTATCCATGGGATTTCTCAGGCAAGAGTACTGTAGGTGGTTGCCATTTCCTCCTCCAGGGGATCTTCCCGACCCAGGGATGGAACTCGAATCTCCTGTGTCTCCTGCATTGGCAGGCAAGTTCTTTACCACTGAGCCATCAGGGAAGCCAAAGCAATTATACCCCAATTTAAGGGGGGAAAAAAAAAGCCAATGCCCACACACTGGTGTAAGCAGAGGTTGCAGGGAGGAATCCTAGTGGAGGTCAGGGAAGACTCAGGGGGGATGTGGCCTCCGAGCCAAGCCTGGCAACAAACCCACTTTAGCCAGGTGGAGGGGCTGGGCGGGAGGAAAGAGAATGTCAGGCCTTCGGTCCCCCAGGCTTCAGTGAGAGAGCTGGGAAAGATGACTGGGGCTGCAGCCGGCAGCACCCAGTCCACACAGCTGGAGGGAGGGACATGATGCTGTCTGTCTTCAGGGAAAGTCCCACTGCCTGCTGCCTAAGAGATAGGAAGATAGAGGAAACGGGGAGACCCTCTCCAAGGAGTGCTGGCTGAGCCTCTCTGCAGCCCTGCAGGAAGGCAAAGCGACGGCTGATGTCAACCCCACTTTACAGATGGGGCAGGCGAGGCTGTGAGCAGACGACTTTCCCAGGATCCTGCAGAGCTGAGTGAGGGGCGGAGCTGGTTATAAAGGTCAGGCCTGCATGCCTTCTACTGAAACCCAGGTTTCCTGCCTTCTGGGAAAGTGGTCTTCTTGAAAAAGTTGCTTGAACCTGCACAAAGACCACCCTCGTTGCAGGTGGTCAGAGAAGGGGTGGGGACTGTAGGACAGGGGGAAGGAGACAGGGTTTCAGGGAGACCTTCCTCCCAGGTGGGTCCCCATGAGTGGACAGTGGGCAACTTCAGAAGTTGGGGCTCATAGAGGGAGAGCTCTGGGTAGGGGGTTCACAGAGCCAGGAGGCCCACATCCACCTAACACCTGTGTGTCTCCAGAGGGGGAGCTTCAGGGGGACGGGAAAGATGACCATGGGCCTGGATGTCTGGCAGGCTATGTGGCTATCTCATGGCAAGTCTGCCGGTACAGATGGGGAAACTGAGGCCCAGGACCAGTCAAGGACACAAGGGATTGGTGAAGGCAGGACTGGAGTTCAGAAGGTGAAAACGATGAACTGAGATAGATGGATAGATAGAAGGGAAAGAGTTGGGGAGACCCAGACACACAGAGGTGAGGAGTGGAAGGAGACACAAGCAGAGAGACCAGAAAAAAGCCCAAATGGGAATGAATAAAGGGGTGTCAAAGGAACAAGGGGTCTGACCAACTCCTCCCCCTCCCCCTCTCTCCATCTGGGCCCCCATCTTTCGGGGCAGAGGGGACCAGGACCCTCCATCCCTGTGGGGAGGGAGGGGCTAGGGTTTCTCCCCCCACTCAGGGGCTGCTCCCCACCCCCGCCCCCGCCCCCAGAGCTAATCAGCGGCTGTCATCTCCACCGTGAGGTCTTGGTTAAGGAGATTTAGGGCTGGGATCAATAGGAAATTTAAAAATCGATGCAGCGCGCAGGGCAAAATCGATGGCGTTTAATCGCCTTGCCGATTCCCAGTCAAAACAATTAGCCGCGCTGAGTGTTGAACACGGTGGCGACACGGCATTAACCGTCAATATTGGTGTAAGTGATGGCGGGCGGGCGGGGGAATCCCCGGGCCTCTCAGAGGCCCAGAGTCAGACGGCGCCTTCGGGCTGGGGTCTCCCCTCAAGGCAGCACCTCTAGTTAGGATTTCCCTCCAGCAGTGCCCCCCTCCCCACCCCAGCCTGTCTGCCTCAATTCTCCTCCTGTGGCATCTCCCTGGGCCCCATGCCCCCATCCCCTGCCTGACAGGCCCCTCTCCCAGGTAAACAGCCTCTCCCCTCAGGAGAGGCAGGCAGCCCTGTGGGAATTGCAGCCATATTCCCAGCAGGGCCTTGAGCCTGGAAGATAGGAATGGGAGCTGTGTAGAAGATGCCTTCTCCCCATTTCACAGACGGGAACTTTGAGGAACAGAGGGGAAAAGCAGGTGGCCTGTAGTGGCCTGGCAGAGAACGCTAAGGAGCCAGGACTAGGACCGTGACTTCTCTGATTCCAGAGTTGTCTGTTCCTTGGAGCTGCACCACAGACAAGGGGAAGGAAGTGTCTGATGTTCACAGGAGAAGGAAAGGAAGTCCTGGCCCCTCAGCTCTCCTTGAAGCCAGGATGACTCTCCTGCAGGCAGGCTGGGGTCTGGCTTCTCTGGGGGTCCCCAACACTGCCCAGGCCAGAGTATGACCTGAGCTTAGACAAGTGAGGATGACAGTGCCCACTGGCCTCACAGAAGACTGTCCACAAACATTTTCGCTGAGGAACATGCAGTAGAACCATTGTCCCCTACAAACACATCAGCTCGGATTAGTCCAGCGGAGCGGCCCTGAGTGAGAGCAACCGGGATTTCCTGGGTGCTAGCTACGTGTCAGGTGTGGTTAGCTGCTCTGCGGGTGTGATCTTGCAGTCTCAACCGTTTGGTGAGTATCATTCTCACGATACAGATGAGGAAATGGAAACTCGGAGAGGTGAAGCCACTTGCCCGGGGTCACACAGCCAAGAGCGGGGTTGGATAGCTCAGTCTGACCAGACTCTGAGGGGTGAAGGACACAGGGCAAGCAAGATCCAATGACTGCAAGCAAGAGGGTGCATACAAGTAGGGCGTACAGGAACCCAGCGCCTGGATGGGGACCAGGAGAGGCTCTGCACAGGCCCAGGAGGCAGGGGTGGGGCGGGCAGGGCAGAGGCAGACCTGGAGACACACTGGGAGCTCCTGACCTGGCAGGACAAGGATACAACGCCGGGAGGCCAGCGCTGGCTCTCACCTTCTTTGAACTTGCCTGAGGGCTCCGGGTTCTGGGGTGCCACGTGGGGGCAGGGGGAGCCTTCCGCAGCCACCGGCTCCCAGCACAGCAGCAGGGCGGGTGTGTGGGCCGGTGAGGAGGCCCGTGAGATGAGCCAGGGATTGATCTGACAAGGTCCTAATCAAATGGTCAATATCGCTGACCTGACCACTTAACCTATCGATAAGCTGGCAAGGATGGAGCAGGAGGCGAGTGGGCTCGGGGAGGAAGGCAGGGAGAGGGCTGGGGGAGGCCGGATGGGCAGTGGGCCGGGTCTGGGGGCCTAAGAGAGGGCAGTCTCCTGCTCAGGCGCCCCCACCCGCCACCCCTCTGATAAGCCATGTGTCTTCTCTGCAGGGGCTTCTTTTAAAAAAAACAAGAATGATTTATTTACCCTTGACTGTGCTGGGTCTTCACTGT